TCTCATGTAAGTATAATTTTAAAGGTCCAGTACGGAGGATGTAGGGAGATTTAGTGTAAGCTAGTGGTGAGGATTGCAGATTGCAGCCAGCTGTAACTTCTCCTGTTTATAATTCCTAAAGTGTTCATAGTTTATTTTTTTATCGAGAGCCAAATTATCCAGAGAGGTCTCTTCTCTCTTTGCTGTTTGGCACGTCGCAGACAGCCCGCTTGCCCAACACCTGCTGTTGAGTTTGCACCTATTTTCTCTGATGATTAAATGTGTGTTCACCTTTTTGCCAGGAGACAAATTATCTGCAGAGGTATCTACCTCTCGACAACAAATGGATAGAGTAATTTAAACTGTTATAAACACTGAATAAAATATTTTTACGTTAAGAAAAAAAAGTGTTTTCTGGCGCTCTCGTTGAGAAGGGGTTGTGAGCTATTGTGGCTGACATGAAAAGGAGAATGGCCCCACTTAGAGTCAGTGTTTGGTGGTGCATAACATTTAATACTGTAGCTAAATCTCGTTTAAAGATGATTTCTTAGCCAACATGCAACTCCACTGATATGGTCTCTGAATTGAATAAATGATGAATTCTTCTTAAGTTATTTGTAAGAATAATTTTTATGCTTTTACAGATACGCAGCTAATTTCAGACTCTAGAGTCAATTGTTCTTTTTGTACAATCAGAACAGGTGGACTATGTGTTGCTCAAGAATGCAAAGAAGTTGGTTTACTGAAGCTGAAGTTTAGATGTGCTTGACTTGAGCTCATAACTGGTTTAGAATACGAGTATTCTATGTGTAAAAGGCAATGATCTCCCAACATTTCTCTGAACTAACTTTTTTTTTTAATATAATCTGACAAAAGTGCAAGCTCATAAATAATATGTGAATTAGTTTTGTTTGCTTTTAACTGTTTTATCACAATTCGGATGGCTGAGTTTCCTGCTACCTTGATTCTGAAGGAAATCATCACACTGTAAAACTGCTGCTGCTGACTTTAGTTTTACTGTGGCAACATGTATGTAAAAGGTTAAGCTCTAGTTGGCAGTTAAAGGAGGTGTGATGCTGTGTGTGACTTCTGTGCAGTTTGATCTCTGACAATAAAAGCTGGTTGATCTATTCTTGCATCAGCTGCTCTTTCTTGGTGTCGTGCAGTTTCTCAGGCTCGAGGTCCGGGGTCCATGCGGGAGTTCATGGGACTTTTTTTTACAATAAATATTTCCTTATGTTCTTTAAATCTCTGTTTGTTTTTTTGTTTTTTTTTTAATACAAAGCCCCTTTTACACTGCCTTTCCATTGCAGAGTGGACGGACATAGTTGTCTCACCTTAAAGTCGACATCAGAGGTAGTAACAGGGCGGTAGCAGTTAGCAGCTAGCTCAAAGAAAAACAGCAGCTTAAAACATCTGCAAATAGTGAAAACAATGAGATCCAGGAGCCCCTTACCCTCCGAGCAGAGGACCAGATCAGGCACCATATAACAGAGATGGTAAATGATTGTTATTGACATGTTATTGTTTATATAGTGCTGCCAACACGGATGTCATATGTTACACAGAGGTTGAAGCTATGGTGTTGCACGTCACGCCAGTCACACCTCTTGATTTCGTGATGCCAGCATGCTGTCAAACCTCACACACTGGACTGGAACGACTTGATTGCTTGGTTCTGTGTAAAAATGTAAAGGGGACATGAAGAACAGACTTTGTAGCAGCCTTATAGCGCCATCTCTGTGTGAAAAGGGCTCAAGTCCATCCCTCGGTACTGTCTGACTTCCTGTCAGTGGCATTCAGCTACAATTCAGCTCCTTTCAGTGACGCAAATTTGACACATGACGTAAAAACAAATATTAAGTTTCATCAGTTATTTGCTCAAACATCTGCTCTCTGTGGTTTGTGTCACAAAAAGGAAACTGTGCCTCTGTTGGGGACTATGTTCAGTAGTGGATTAATCCACATGAGCTGCTCTAGAGAGTATTTGTTGCAGCAGGACGGTGTATGCGGGATTGGGTGAAACTACAGCATGTGTGTATTAAGGAACATGTCACCCAGTGACACAGTGTGGCTCACTGATGTAATAACAATGGGCATGAACAATGGAGCTCTTTGGCACATAGGAAGAAGATTTAACAGGCTCTAGGTACCTATTGATGCTAGTGATACATCATCATTTTGAATAACAGTATGGCTGATACCAGTGTATTTTTTTGTTTTTGTTTATTTGTTCTTGTTATTTATTCCCCCTTGTCCAAAGAAATCTCTATAATAGAAATAACTGAACTGTTCTGAAGTCATTCAGTCCTTCATGGCACTACCTTTGAATAAACACAACTTAATTCATACAAGTTTATCAAAAGACCTTTAGTAAAAACTTCTTTCACATGAAAAAATATCTTTAAAACAAGGCTTATGTCTTTTTACTATATATATATATATGTGTGTGTGTGTGTGTGTGTAATATATATATATATATATATATATTTCACTTCCATAACATCTGTTTTACGTTGCTGTGAAAACACCAACGCATTTCTTCTTCAAAGAGCTCTATTTTACCTTCGCCCAATACTCATTTTTATTGAATAGAGCTTGAAAGCATCACAGTGTAACCTCTGTCAGCAGTTGGGTCCGGGCACCGGAAGCAACTGGAAGTCCTCTCAGGCGTCTATAGTGAGTTTACTGCGTCACAGCACCCTGGAGAGGATCTCTGGTTGTCCCAAACATGTTTTCTATTGTCCCCGAAATAACAGGACACTGTTAGTTTTAAGCTTTTTTGGCTGCGCAAAAGTGATGTAACATAACAGAAAAACGTCAGCCAACACCATTGCTGAATATCATCTTATTTGAAGATAGGCCCATGGCAGGCAACAAGGAAAATATCTGCCGATAAATGGGTGCATCCCTTGTAGATACATTCAGCGTCTGAGTATGTAGAATATCATCAAACCTACACTTTAAATATTTAATTATTTTGTAATGTCCCTCCTGTTGTCAATTTGGGATCAGAATCGGCTGATTTTATATTTTATGAATTATGCAAAAAATTTAAATTGCTGAAGAAACAACCAGACACAAGAGAAAGGAGAAAAGTCAACTTTTAATTATCAGACAAAAACCACAGTGGACAGAGTGCAGCATGTGACACACAACTACATCATTGCTCAAATCACCTCAGTGAGGGTTTGAATATGTTTTTATCATGTTTCTTTCTTCAGTTCCCCACCTGCATCGTCCAAAAACGTCCAGAATTCACCTGTAGCTGTCCTACAGCACTCAAGAATCACATCTCTTATTTCTGATGTGTTTTTAATTCATCACAGTGAGTTTTATAAATCATTGGCTATTATTGGCATTTTTATTCATTTTGATTTTTAGTTTGTCAATTCCACTGGTTCTCTGTGCAATCTCACTTAGCCTCTGCACTGGTATTCAAGTTTTAAAACCAGTTAATCTTCTTTTAGAAATGCTCTCACTTCAACAGCTCATTTATTCATGTTTGTTTCGTGAAGCAATATTTTTTTTCTCCCAGACTTAATCTGGCTATCTGTTTAAATAGATTATTTTTTGCAGTTTGTCACTCTCAAGACTATTTTCACTCATTTTATGGAGAATTTCACTGTTGACAAAACATTACCCATTACTCTTTAACCAGCCCAGGACCCCACCTGTACATGACTTCATTTCTCCACCGTCTTATGTCCTTCACAGCACCTTCCTTACTGCTTCTTCGCCATTTAAACCTTTTAAATAACAAACCTCCATCTCAGCAAACCGTCTGATTTTACTGTAACCCACAGTGCCAATTCACATATTTACATTTTCTACCAAAAAATAAAATTCCTGTCACAATCTCTGCTACTAAATCAGCGCTCTTAGTTTTGCAGATGTATTTCAATACAAATGAGTTACTCTTACTCTAATCCTTAAATTTTGATGGAGTGTGACGGGTACCTGACTTAAATTGAAAAACTTACTTATTAAAAGTTGTAGGAGCAGTGCGTAGGAATTGAATATAATATTTATAGTTATGTTTCAGAAGTCGCCGTGAAACTAAGAATTTCATTATCTTAGACACAGTCTTTGACCCATTGGTGCTATTGGTTATGACACATGTGCAATGCGACTGGAGCTGTGATGTTGGAGGGTTACAGCAGACAACACCAGAAATAAAGGGATGGTGTTCCCTCAGGTGCTCATTGGGTGTTCTCAGCCTGACAGAAATTTTTGGGTATGCTTGGAGCGGCGGTCAATACAATTTAAAGTTTTTTGTTTATCATCATATATTATAGATCTTTTCAATATTTGCAGATCTGTTATCTTCACCTATATCTGTATTTCTCCTACAACAAATATTCTGACCCAAGGCTGATTGCAGACTCCTCCGTTCTATGATAGTGCACCAGCTATTTAGGCTTTGAGCAAGTGCAGACCACACTGAATGCATGTGTGTTTTACTTTAATGATAACATGTGATATGACACTGTGTCCCAGCCTTCGTTTGAAAGCCTTGTCTGGAGAGGGACTTAGGCGTTTCTATATCAAAGTGAAGGCCACTGTAGGTTCTCCTACATGCCTGGAAATGGAGGGTTGGGTGGAGGGGTGTTCACTTGGTTGCAGTATGCAGCCTCACCACTAGATGCCACTAAAGCCTACACACTGGTGCTTTGAACTGTCATATTTGTATTCACACTTAAAGGAAAAATCAGTTTTACAAATATGACTCATATTTATAGTTTCAGTTAGTTTATCTATAGCCCTTTTTACATAGATATCATGCTGTTGGGCCGCTATGCTGTCCCTTCTTTATCGCGCCTTTGCATTTTTTTCAGAGAACCAAGCAACGGCAACATCATCACCCTTTAGTGTGAAGTTTAACAAAGGCATCGGCAGCACTTTATAACAATGGGAATAACAGGCCAATAACAGTCATTTACCTCGTTTTCATCCTCTGCTTGAAGGGTAAGGAGCTCCTGGACCTAACTATTTTCATTGTTTTTCGTTTTTTCTGTTCTTTGAGTTAGCTGCTAACTGCTATCAGCTGCTTTTTAAATCTCCTGGGGGTGGGTCGCACACATAAAGTTGTCAAAACGTCACACCCATGTCATCCATGGTCCCATCCTGCTGGCTGTCTCGTTTACACAGATGTTGTTGTGACACTGTTATTATCTCTGCTGTCGGCTCAAAGGTTAGACACCTCTGTTCCCCCATTCCGCGATTGTACTTTTTATACAGGCGACATAAAGGCATGAAATTCATGCCTTGAAGAGGCAGCATAAAAGGGGCTTATGACCAAGGTGGCCAGCTGAGTTGGCTCCTTCGTGGCTGAGTGTCGGCACAGTTGTGTGCTGGCACTGAAAAAGATGGGCATTGGGCGAAAGGCCTTGGACCAATCTCTGGTAAAAATCAACTTCAGTTAGCTGGTTTTGGGCCAGTGTCAACCTCAGCCATCCGATCAACCCACAATGCAGCCGATTCTGATATGCAATTCATCAAGCCTGGCAACCAAGTGAGCCATTTTGGTTGCCTGAGATCATTGTACTCACCACCATTACCATAGAGACCATGGAGATAAACTGATGGGCTGGAAACAGCCCTAAAACAGAGATCAGTGAGGCTTAAGCCTTCAACAGATCCTCGGTGAGTTGTCTAGATTGACCCACAGCTTCTGTTATTTTTGGACTTTGGGTTGTTTTGGGAAGTATTTCCTTTACCTGATTGTAAAGCTGTTTCTTCCAAAAGCAAAATTAAGGATTTATTAGCCAGAACTACACCAATCCAGGATGTGAATGTTCATATATTGCCTTATATTCTTTCAAGGCATGGGCAGTATCTACTTTTTCATACCTTCATACCTTTCTGAAATTTTACCAGGGTATGCAGTATATGACAGTATGGGTGTGCGGCCCAAACCGATGAGTTTGCTACTTTCTGCAAGCTGTCTTAGGGTTTTCTGACTAATAAATACAGGGTCTACTCAAAAAACCTGGACATATGTTGAGCAATCTAACTCCACAATTCAGCACTACACAGTTCAGTCTTTTCATGTTTTCAACAAGTATTTTCTAACATGTTTAATGTGTTTAGAAAGAAATCAGTGATTTTGCCTTACACAGACTTCAGAGTGCATGATCAAATGCATTTGTCAAACTGGTACGACTAAGCCTACATGCGATTTCATATTTCAGTGAGTGTTGAATTATAAGTGAATTTATGTCCACATTTTAGAGGGGGGGTATTTTCCCGCTATTTTCTTCATCACATTCTTCTTCATTTCTTTATAAATCTTATAGTTTATCGATGTTGTTATGTGGTTTCCAGAACTCCAGTACAACAGGCTGTTTTGAGTTTATTGACACACATGCCACCCCCCACCCAAAATGACCAAAGTGATTACACTTGACCCTGCAGGAAACATGAATTTCTAAACCATATTTCATGGAAATCCATTCAATAGTTTTTGAGATATTTCACCACAAACCACCAGTGTCAGCCTCATGGTTCAGTCACTTGCATGGCTATTAAAACAGGACTTGATAAGCATGATTATTACTGTTATTTTTTGTGGTGTAATAACAAAACTCATATTGGCTATTTTGTCCACCCTGCCTTTTACCTCATGTCAAGAACAACTCAGATTCAGTCCACAAATGGAAGAGATTGAATATTGAATGTCACTTAAATGTTCTGTGTGACAGAATACCCCTCTAAAACTTGCAGCTATAAATACACTGTGTTTGATTGGATGTGTGTGGATGCCTTGCTGTAACTGAGTGACTGACTGACTGGAGCCTGCTATTGTGGAGGGGTGGGGGAAGGTGTGGTAGATGAGGAAGGAGAGTCCCACTTGAATCCTGTACTAATTTGCTGAGGCCAGTGATGTCGGCCCATGGGCATATCACAGGAGTCGGGGTACAGCAGATATCCAGAAAACGTGCCACTGCTCTCAGCGTCGGTGTACATGCCGTTAGTGGTCTCATCCTTCACTTGCAGCCACACCCGTTGTCCCATGATGAGGTGGAGGACGACAGTCTGGCTGGTGGTGGACTGATGGGTTGTTTCTGTTGCTCTCACCATGGGGTAGTGTTCGCGATACAGGCCGACCTTAAGAACCTTTTTGGCAACTGCCAGGTGGAAGCTGAACACATAGGTGCCATTGACAGGGGCCGTGTACATGCCCATGAGTGGGTTGAAGTGCCCCTGCTGGTTGGTAAGGACGATTGGGAAAGCAACAGGCCAGTTGTGAATAGGAAACGACTCATTGATACACGCAGAGAATGCCGATTGGATGGCTGGGGAGCAGGGCCCAGGTGGCCCCATGAGACCCATGTCACCCTCGTTGCCTTTTAGCCCCATGGGGCCTTGTACACCCTGGACACCAGTGTTACCTTTGACCCCTTTAGCTCCTTTACTTCCTGGTCTCCCATCAGCACCATCTGCTCCATCTGTGCACTCACACATCCCCTGCTCACCCTGCTCACCCTTCTGGCCATCCATGCCGGGGTCGCCGGGTCTACCTAGGTCACCCTTATTTCCCTTAATACCTTGAGGTCCCATGGTTCCCTTGACCCCAGGCAGGCCCTGGGCTCCGGCTGATCCAGGGGGGCCTTGTGGACCTGGTGGACCCTGGACACTCTCACAGGAGGCAGGGCATGTACCGGTTTCTCCCTGAGGGCCCTGTGAGCCTGGGGGGCCTTCCATTCCTGATTCCCCTTTTTCTCCTGGAGACATGCATCAAGAATATTTACATTACATTTAGACACAACATGAGTTTATTTTAACCACGATCAACCTAAAACAACACGTTATTATTGTAGCCATGGTGAGGAACGTCCCTCAACGTTCATGAAGCCATAACTCAAACCATGATCATTTTTGCGCCTAAACTCAACCAAAACTTAACTACTGCAATGTCACATCATACAACTGTTTTATTTGTCAATGACGAATGATGTTGTCCTGCTGATAGTGGTGTTCATGTAACACTATTAGCCCTTTACATAGAGGAATCTTTTACACAGAGAGATCTTAGCAGACCTTTGAAGCCTCGGCTGCCCTTCATCCCGGTGAAACCAACAGTGCCGGGCTGTCCTTTCTCCCCCATGTCTCCCTTCTGACCTGTAACGACAAAGAAAATGATTATTACAAAAGAAATGAAAAGCAGTATGAGGTAACCTGCATTAAGACCAGTGTTACTGTAATCACATTGTTTGTCAGTAACCCAGTAATGTAACCCATTAGTGTTCCTGAATTCAGTAATCACATTACAGTGACTAATCAAACATTTGCGTCATGTCTTGTCTTTGTCTTTGAAGACCGATTTTCAGCTCTAGTACCTTGGTTGGGGACATTAAAGTGTGCATGACAGGCATCTGCATGGTCTACAGTTAATACAAAGGCGACCTTTATGAAGGTTACAATGAAGGATGTTTATGTTGAATATGGCCAAAGTTTCAAATAATGAGGTAAACGTATGTTAAAGTGATCCTTGTGAGGAAAATCCTCAGGTTTCTGACGGTTCTGAATACTCTGTTTACAGATTTTTCTACTCTGGGTATGACGTCATAGTGCACCAGATTTCTTTTTACTGTCATCTGTGTTTTACATTATCTGGGTTTCATCCCAATATTCCTCCTCGACTCCTCTATCCTTGATCACTTGACCCGGAAGTCGATCGACTCTCACCATCTTGAAGGACGTCTCAGTTCGTTAAATGGACTCCAAGGAGTCGAGGAGAGAGAACCGAGGATATGTGAGTGCAGCTTCACAGAAGTCTTTACCTACCAGCACACCCCCCTGATTGGATATCAGGTATTGATTGGACAGCTGATCAGACTGGTCTGATAGATCACAACATCACTGGAGTTTCACACCAGAGTGAAGATGGGTAAGAGGTTAAACCCAAGTGTATCACTGCCACGTTTGAGATTTAATTTGTTTTCTGATTCACCATCGAGTTATAAATCTGAACAAGAAAAGGAAACTTTATTGTTTTATTAGAAAGATCTTTCTTTTCACGATTTGGTACTTCCCTCATCAACTTAAATCATCGATACAATCAAAGTCAGAGTCTGTCTGTCAGCAAGTAACACTTTTTACACCACTGACCATCATTTCCATTCAGTCACACTGAGGCTGATCATTCCTGAGCATCGGGTCGGTGAGTTACAGAATTGTAATTTTCCCTGAAAAAATTGGCCTAATAAATAATTTCCAGTGTTCAAAGACATAGCGATCATATTCTGGGTTATTGGATGATCACAATCAGAATATCGATATAGATTATAAATACAGAAAGCAGGTTGTTGTTCATGTGCAGCTGATTGTTAGACAGAGAGAAAACACTGCTGCTCTGCTACTGAGAAATGAATCTTTATCATTATATATGTATATATAACATTTTGTGTGTGCAGACACAAACTCTATCAAAAGTTTCTATAGCTGATAATGGACGCCGCTTCACGTGGCGCTTCAGAGGAGAAGACTCTCATTTCTCTACGCAAGGAAGAGATGCAAGTGAGGGAAACGTGGATGGCGTGCATTGGTCTCATTAATAGTTGGAGAAAAACAAATATCTGCAATAATGAAACAGAAGTTGGCAGGTGATCAGTGTGTTCTGCCATTTTACTCCTACTGTTTTCTTGTTTTGCGCATGGTACAACAACCGTTTCCAAGAGTCCTGGACGGAATTGGTTGAAGAACCAGATCTGATTTGGTGGACAAGTTGTATGAGATGAATGGGCTGAACAGAGACACATGAGGCCCATTTCCATTGAGCAGTACGATACGTTTAATTTAGTTTGGTACGCTTTTTTTTTCTGTTTCCACTGTGAAAAGTTGTGGATGGTACCACTAGAACCATTCCTTACCGTCCCCATTTTTGGTCCCCCTCTGTTGGGGCACAAGGTGGCTTTTGTAGAGCAGCCCAACATTTTTTTTTCTGTCTAATCCAGTATCAGATAAGAAGATGGCCCAAAACAGACAGTTTCAATGTTGTTGAAAGGTGTTTTCTTCATTGATAACCAGACATAGAAAAAAGCCAAAACTGCAGCCCAAGACTGATGTTTTGTTATGTTGTCATTAACAGTGAGGTGATGGAGAGTTCCTGATGTGTAACTTACCCTTCACCCCTTGACTGCCTGTGAATCCTGGTTGACCAGGGAACCCCATCATTCCTCTTCTTCCAGGACTCCCAGGTGCACCTGATAAAAAATTACACTCAGGTTAGTTGTTGGTTACTTGTTTCACTGACTTTTTTTATTGCTGATATCACAGTCCTCACTCCTCTTGCAGAGACTAGTGGTTCTCAAACACCTGGTGTTTCAAAACAAACAAAAAAGGAACTTTATTGAAAAGTTATCTAAGTCATGAGCTGCATGTCTTTTTTTCATGCATGTTTCTCATCAGATACTTTAATGTCTTTCTTTGGTTTTTTACCAAGCAGCAACCTCAAGTGCCAAAAACTGTGGTTCCTCTAATGGCCATATGAGGCTGGTTCAAAGAGCGAGTCAGTCCCCGTAGACTCCTATTTTAAAATGTCCAACTTCACAGTAGAAATAAACATGTTTACAACCCGGTGCAAAAAAACCAATATACATCTTTATAGCTTATTTCCCTGTTCTTGACAACTGTACGAGGGGGAGACTTTTTATATAACTCACCCATTTACATTTAATTAAGGGTTAAGTTATGCATTGTAAAGGACGGGGCTGCTTAAGTGACAGGCTGTCTACGATGCATCACCACAGTCTACAGCCTCTTTTACATTGCCTCCTAAAGGCAGGAAATTCATGCCATTACACCGCCTCGCTGTTCTGTATAAAAGGTATGATGACGGATTGGGGAGACAGAGTTGCCTCCTCTTTAAGCCGGCAACGGAGGTAGTTACAGCGGCAGAACAAGGTCTGTAAAAAAACAAACAAAATGGATGTAACAATGTTGACCTTTTGACAACATAACGTGTGAGGAACCCAAGGCCGGGAATTTAAAAAGTAGCAAGAAGCAGTTAGCAGCTAACTCAAAGAAGAACAGTGGCTGTAAATGTCCTCAGATTGAGGAAAAAAATGAGGTCCAGGAGCTCTTTACCCTCTGAGCAGAGGATGAGATCAGCCGACATATAACAGGGATGATAAATGATTATTATTGTCATGTTATGCTGTTATTTTGTATGTTACATTTAAGGCCAATGCTGTTGCATTACACGTCACACCCTTCACGCCCCTTTTGTCTGAAATCACACACTGGAGTGGCATGATGTCGCCATTATTTGGTTCTGTTTCAAAATGCAATTGTGGTGTAAAGAAGGGACTTTGTAGCGGCTGTATAGCGGCATCTCTGTGTGAAAAGGGCTTTTGCGTCAGATCCACCCCTCTCTCCCCCAGAGCTGCATCCTCTCATCCAAATAGTCACTTCTGGCTCCAAAACTCCAAAAGGCGATCGCCAAAACGCCACGCTCAAGGCTTCAAAACAGGAGTCCATAAACCAATGGGTGATATCCCGGTGGCTACGTACATTATTTTATGCAGTATATAGTTTTTACACATAACAACAAAATGCTCAAGAGCATCTCTTGTGTCTCGAGCTTCTTCATATTTATAATTTAATGTTTTAGCTCACTGACAATCACCTTTTCTTCCTTTTTTGGTCAGAAGTCTGTGCTTCTTGTTCATTAAATGTTGCTGCCTGAGTGATTATTGCAAACCTGAACCTTTTTTCTTGCAGCATCCGAGCACTCTAATTTGATCATTGCTCCTTTGAGAATCAGATTTGTTTAACTTCAGTTGTGTATCACCCCCAGCCTCCTGTAAGAGGAGTCTAACCAAAAATGAAACCCACCGCTGCTGTCAGCTTTCATACGTAGCCTGCTTTCCTGCCAAAACGGGAAACTTAAAGTGATCTACATACCCGCAGGGCCCCGGTCTCCACGGTCTCCTTTGGGCCCCACGGTGCCCTTACAGTGCCAACAGAGGCAGAAAAAAGGAATCTGGTCAACAGGCGCTGCCGAGTTCATCAGCATTTCACAGATCCCAGTATCAGGCATGGGGGGCATCATTGGATCGGTGCTTCCAAACATCCGGGACTCTATGGTCTTTGGGGGGTCTCCAGAGTTTGTGTCCTCTGTGTTCATGTTGTATATGTTGCCATAGCGCATTGGTGTGTTGGAGTCCATGTTGTCAGAGTACATGTTGCCTTGGTTCATCGGCGCATTGGAGTCCGTGTCGCCAGAGTACATGTCGCCTTGGTTCATCTGCGATTTGGAGTCCATGTCGTCAGGGTGCCCCTCGCTGAATGGCATGTAGCCGGAGGGCATCGGCATGCTACGGCTGCGGTGAGACCAGTTGGTGCCTTGGTCTTCTGTACTGGAGTCATTGAAATTTGGTTTCAGCATGGCTGAGCAGAGGGAGGAGAGGACGAGGAGTCCCAGCAGCCTCGACAACATCTAGAGGAAGAGGATGATGGGAGGCAAGAGAAAGATGGTAAGCTAATCACACTGGGAAAAATCTGCATCTTTTAAGTCCAGGTAAAGCAAAATCAATAATTTCTTCAGAAAACGCATTACACATGTTTTGAAAAGATTTGGAACTATTTAGTACAGAATGATGGAGTTAGACTATATTTTTCAATATTTCTGTGTCTGATTTTTTTGGTCGGGCCTGAAATCATGGCGCGATGATGGACTGGAGCCATTCTTAACATAACCTCTCCTCTTATATATAAAAACTACGTTACTTCTAAGGTTAGAGGTCATAGCATCAGTGTTGTTTCGGGCGCCTGCTGATGGGACGTCCCATGACCTGTCTTAGTTCTTTCAGTCTGATAAATATCTTTGTTAAATGCCACAATGGTATAAACACAAGTAAAACAGTGGTCACTAACATACTTTTCAGTATTTGAGCCTGAATCAGTGAATCAGTTACCCAGCCTGCCGGCAGTTACTGCTCACTGTTGTGGGTGTGTGCTTGAGCTAACATTAGCTGCTGAACGAGAGGCTATCTATGTGCAAAAGAGGGTGTGTGCTGCGCTACCATAGACCAAAGCTTCTGGGGTTGCTGCTAACAAGAGTGTGACAGCTCATTCTGTAACTTGGGGTGTGTGTGTGTGCTTGTGTGTGTATGCATGCATGCTTTGTATTACTGAGTTAGCTGCTGATGAGAGTCTCAGTACATGTATATGCACAGTGAAGTGGAGCTACAGTTATAGCTCATCTAGGCCGCTAAAGAGTCTGTTGCTCTGAAGTGGCTCGTTCTTCAGCTCACTGCCTTCAGAGGCAACACCCCCAGCATCTCAGAGCAGCGAACACTGTTAATGTTTTAAAGATTTTTAAAAATGAAACCTTTTTCAATCGTTGGGTGGTTAGTAAAAGCTTTTCTATGATGCAACATCGTTACACACTTTTTTTTTGCTTCGCCCGCACTTAAACATCCTTAGGTTGAGTGTTCAGTCTGTTTGTCCATATTTTCCCTCATAACTAAAAAATAGTTCTCATAGAATGCAAATCAGTTTGTTTCAGGATTTCCTCAGAATCAGGTGTCGTTTTTTCAATCACAAATCTGATTACAGTCTGTCTTTTTTTCTGGGCTATGTTATAAGTTAGGATCAAAACGCCACTGGCTCAGAGGAAGGCAGTGATGCACCTGAAGCTGTTTGATAACTTACAGAAGATGAACTTCTGCACTTCAGCAGTTTAGTTACAGCAGCAGTTAGGCGGGATAACTAACTGATATCTACAAACAGTCACATGGATGAGTCCCGTTTTTGAACCACGGTCAAGACCAAAGCTCTATCATCCTCACGGCCTCTCGCTCACACCCACAGATTAATTAGTGGTTGAACTGATCAGGGATGAGATAAACAATAGCTTGGTGCGCCTTCTGTAAGATTGAATGTGATTGACTGGAGCACAGTGCATTAAATCAAATCAAATCAATCAATCTGAAATGCTTGTTGGATGCATTAAAAATTTGCTTTTTGCTAAGGCTCAAGACAAACAAAAAATAATGATAATTTTAAAATACTGGAATATTTGTATCGTCTATTTAAGAGCTTTGAGTTGACTATAGTTGAAAAAATGTGTATAATTTTATACACACTTTTTTTCCTGCTCCTTTACTGATTTCACTTTTGCAGAAATCTGCTTTAACAACCAGTCAAAAGTGGATTTTTGTTTTTTTAAAAAAAATTAAACTCAATATATTCCAGTGAACCTGAACTGCTGCCAGACTTGAAAAAAAAAAATCCTGCGAGGTATTTAAAGGAAAGACTCACCGCTCCGTCTGAGAAGTGCAACATGGTCTTGAGAAGGACTTGTGAGAAGATTAGCACTATCGAGGAGGCTTTGATCCATTTATAAACCTCGCCCAAAACAAAACTTCTTTCAGCCTCCGGCTCACTTGCTGGGCCTGCAGACAAAGGCTGAGGACGAGGAGGGAGGAGGAGGGAGGGAGGAGAGGTGCGTCTTCATTGTCCTGCTGGGGAAGAACTGGGCCTTCTGCCTGCGATGTGACCTCCTTCACCATGAAACAGCTAAAATATATTATAGAGCCGAAAGAAGAGACATCTCTCTGTTTATCTCTCCATCATTCTCCACCCTCCTTTTTCTCTCATCATTCTTTCAGAAAACAAGATTCTCTTTTTAATCTTTCCTTTCACAGCTCTATTTTTTATCCATCATCACGTTCATCGTTTGACCAGTTTGGACAGAAAAGTCCCAGATTTTGCACAGTTACATATAGATTTAATTTCTTTATTTTAATCTTGTGTTCTGCAGAGTTTTGTTCCTGTTAGGGCAGCAAAGCAGTTGAAACCTTCAGAAACAATAAAGCGTAAACTAAACTCCACTTGAAATAATTAGGCTGGTGATATTTTACAATTTTCCATTATCAATAAAACCCATAAGAAAACCAAAACCAGTAACATATTGGTTCATCTCTCAATGCTGTCTGACTTCCTGTCTGTGGCTGTCAGCTCCAAGCACCTTGGGTCCTACAGAAGACTTGAATCTTTAAAAACACAAACTAATACTTGTTTTCAAAGTCTCCGCACTAAGCAGATGGTCACTGTAGTTTTTATTAAACAAACAGAAGGAAACAGCATTTTCTGTGGACTATTTACAGTGGCGGATTAATCCACATTGTTGTTCTACTGGAATAATTCTCAAAGAATAATAGCACCAGTGCAAGAATGGTTGAGGAGATGCAGGCAGCAGGAATTGTTGGTTTTGCTTGCTGATGTCTTGTAGCAGGTGTTACTACCCCTCCCCCGATAAACAGTATTTACATCGCTCTGTATGTTGCACGCTGATTGGCTTTAGGTCATTTCTGCTTTATTGTGGGTCAGAACTACAGGATTGGGACCTGCAGACACAATCAGATATGTAACTTGAAATGTTTTTTTTTCGGCCTCTGGGACACATTAGCTCATCTCTCTGATCATGTCTCTGAAAATTCACACATAATGACGATATGACAAATATCTGTGTCATCCTCAAGCTCGGGCCCTCTACCAGAGGCCTGGGAGTTTGAGGGTTCTGTGCAGTACCTTAGCTGCTCCTAGGACTACACTCTTCTGGACTGAGGCTTCAGATGTTGTTCCTGAAATCTGCTGGAGCCACTCTGTCAGTTTGGGGGTCACTGTCCCGAGTGCTATGACTACCACAGGGGTCAACTTTGACCTTCCACATCTGTTCCACCTGTTCTTTCAACCCTTGATCCACCTTTCCTTGTTCCTTCTTTCTGATGTTGCTGTCGGCTGGTATTGCCACATCTACCACCACTGCCTTCTTCTGGTGTTTGTCAACCACCACTATGTCCGGTTGGTTAGCCAGCAGCTGTTTGTCAGTCTGGAAGCTGAAGTCCCACAGGATCTTAGCCCTGTTGTTCCCAGCTGTGTCCCATCGGGATTTGGGTACTTGGAGTCCATACTGGGTGCAGATGTTCCTGTACACTATCCCAGCCACTTGGTTGTGCCTCTCCATGTACGCTGATCCTGCCTGCATCTTACACCCTGCCACTATGTGCTGTACCGTCTCAGGGGCATCTTTACACAGCCTGCACCTTGGGTCTGATGGGCTGAGGTAGACCCTGGCCTCTGTGGCCCTTGTACTTATGGCCTGTTCTTGTGCTGCCATGATTAGTGCCTCCATGCTGTCTGTCAGTCCAGCATTCTCCAGCCACTGGTAGGTCTTCTTGATATCAGCCACTTCCTCTATCTGACGGTAGTAACTCAGAGTGAGATTCAGATTCTGTTACAATATTAACAGTACAACTAAATCAAATCTACCACAAATTACACATTTCCCAGTCCCCTGGGATCTCTTTATGTAAATCAGCAGGTGATTTCCTTCTTTTAGTAAAATCCTAAATTGAGTTGTTGTTTTTTTTTCACCTGGACCTTTATGCTTGGCCATTTCTCCTCTAATCATCAGGCTGTAACCCGTGACAGGCTGTTATGATACCACAACTATCACACATTCACATATATGGAGTTTATTCACGTAGGTTTACATCACCAAAGGTTTAATCACTTGTCGACACCGACTCCTGTGTGCGCACGGCGAGAGAGGAGAGGGAGAGACGCTGTGCAGCTGCCAGAGGAGCCGCTGAATGAGTTCCCTCTGCAGGGAGGGTAACTCACTGTAACTCACTAAGAGTAATAATTTATTTCGCTTTCAGCCATGTTTGTTGTTGCCGGGGGTAACAGTATGACATCAGTACTGTATGTCAACAAGTCCAAATATTGCGAGTATCACAATATGAATTTTTCATATGATATTCAAAAACATACCGGTATTATTGTGAACAAGATGATAGTGTGAACTCGTTTGTTAGCTCTTACATGTTATTGAGATTACATACTCAGATTAACAGTTCTATAGTCAGCTTTGTTATGCTTCTGCGCCAGTGACAGTGGTTGTCCCTCCGTCCCATTCTCATGAACACGATATCACAAGGACGCCTTGAGGAATTTTCTTAAAATGTGGCACAAACGTCCACTTGGACTCAATTAACTGAATAGATTTTGGTGGTCAAAGGTCAAGGTCACTGTCAGCTTGTCTCTCTCAATCTCGCGAATGTGACAGCTCAAAAACACCTTGATGGAATATCTTCAATTTTGGCACAAACGTCTAATTTAACACAAGGATGACCTGATTAGAATTTGGTGGTCAAAGGTCAATGTAACCTCACAGAACACGTTTCTGGCCGTAACTCAAGAATTTGTATGCTAATTATGAAACAAATTCACACAAATGTCTAATAGGATAAAATAATGAAGTGATGATATCATAATGTTCTGCAAAACACTTTTCTGGCCATTATTCAGTGTGATATCTCAGGAAGAGAAGGGGAGACATTTGGTCAGATACTGAACTGGTGACTCTAATCTTGAAACTGTGCTGATTGTATAGATCTTCTGTGTGTGAAGCATCCATGTTTAAGAATTTGTAGCAACATTTGAAGGATTGTCAGCTGTCATGGCTTCATATGAGTCTGGACAGACATGGATGTAAACTGTAACTGCAACTTGACTGGTGTGTGAAGGTATAGCTGTTACGTGGTAATTCCGGTTTTTAAATGAATTAAAATTACAATTAAACAAAAATATCTTCACCACACCTGGAAAACTAAACTTTCAGAACAAGTGAGGAAACACTCAGCCTGAGTGATTAGATTATTATATATTATTTAATTACATAAAGTCAAACAAGATTTTTCTGTGAACAAGTGTCTTTTTCTTTTTCCGTCTCCTTAGTAACACTCGCCACCAGAAAGTGCTTTGACAAGTTGAAATATGGGAAAACAAAGTATTTAGGACTCCGTAATGGACCAGAATGACTTTCCCAGTGTACTTTGCAGAATGTTTTTTTACCATCCTCTAAACAAACAGCTCTTGTGGCACAAGCAGCTGCTCAACAATACAGTAATCTAACACTGTGAAAGCATCCAGTCCTCACAATGAGGAGCCTACTTTTATTATTTCAGCAGTTAACAGCAGACGATAATGACTTCATTCTGTAATGATATCCATGTCCACGATATTAATCAAACTAATTACAAACACGGGAAAAAATAAACCAATGTAAAATGAAACTCATTACTCAAATGTCCTGCAAACATAAAGTTTACTATGCTGACGCATGATCGCTGAAACTACTCTACACTTTTACTTCAGTAAAGCTGTGTACATATGGCTACTTTCTTCCCTCTCTTCACCTCCATCTCACTTTTCTTTTTACTCCTTTCTTCTTTTCTTCTGTGGTGTCTTTGTCATTTTGGTGTCAGTGTGTGATAAGAAGCTCAGACTGTAAACAAATCTCCCTCAGAAGATTCACTGCTGCTTCTGTTGTCGAGACTAACGCTCCTCCTCAGTTCATCCTGTGAAAAAGACAGAATTTCAGGCAACAATTCAACTGCAGAGAAACTAAAAGTGAACTAAAGCTGAGACAAAATGGTTTATGAGTTAAATCATTATTCAGTTAAGTCACATTGTTCGTCATGAAATAATTCCAGGAAGTAGCTCCCACCTAAACTCTTGTTTTTAGCGTTTTAGCGGCAGTAGCTCAGTCTATAGGAACTTGGGTTGGGAACCGGAGGGTCGTCTATTCGAGTCCCCGTCCGGACCAAAATATGGAGCGTGGACTGGTGGCTGGAGAGGTGCCAGTTCACCTCCTGGGCACTGCCGAGGTGCCCTTGAACAAGGTACCGAACCCCCCAACTGCTCGGGGCGCCTCACCAAGGGCAGCCCCCTCACTCTGACATCTCTCCACTTTGTGCATGTATAGGTCCTGTTTGTGCATGTCTGTGTCTTTCAGACCTGTGTGTAATTGACAAGCAAGAGTGAAAACATTGAATTTCCCCTCAGGGGGATTAATAAAGTAAATAAACTTAAACTTAAACTTGAAACCCCATTCGAGATCGAGAATTGGGACAAATAATGTTCTACCTAACTTATCAATGGACTAATTCTGCTTCTCAGGTGAAACATTATTTTCTAAAGGTTTTACATATGTGAAATAAATTTGGTTTTTAAGATACTTTTTAACTTCTAAACCTGTCCCAGACCAGAATTCACAACTTCAAATAAATAATGTGTTAAAAGCCTTCAAATTTTAAAACTAAGCCCAGTTCAGACCAAAGATTCGTGACAAGACAAAATCTTTTTAGAACGTTGCAGAGAAAAGTGTCAGCAGTGTGAACTGGTCGGTCTGAGCTCGACTCAAGCCGGCTGATGGCGTCACCTGACACTCAGCTGGTCAAATGGCCGGCGGCTGGTTTTAAAGCACGTCACTTGTTTCTACAGCCAATCAGCTTGTAGTGAAGTCAGCTGGTCAAGTCAAAATGA